CCCCAAAACCCCAAAACCCCAAAACCCCATCTTGCTACTTAAAATTCCTACTATTCTTAAATCTCATATCTGCCTCTGACTCTTTTGGGCACAGCATAATCTGTATCGTACCAGTTGATCAGGTACCTCCATAGGTAGCCTGGGATGTAGCTAAGAGAGGGTTATGACTAGGAATGGGGAGGGATTTACCAGTAGTCTATAGTCCTTCGATGAGGTTTGGTTTTAGGAATTTGGATCTTTCTGAGAGAAATTGGATGTTAGAGCCGTATAGAGGTGACTCTCAGTTAGCTAAAGTTGGAGGTGAGGCTGGTTGGTTTGGGGTAAGTGAGTTTTATGTATAGTTTTGGGCTTAGAATTAAGAATTTAGTGCTAGATTACCTTTATCCATCATTGTTGGATTTTCGTGGGTTCCAATAAGAAGAGGTGAGTTTGTTATTTTTTGAGGTCGTTCGTATTCTCAGCTATAAGTGTGAGTCAGATTTTGAAAAATTTCATATAAAGTTTCTGTTAAATTTTTAATAAGCACACTATTTTAGAACTTCTTACTCTCCATGCTCTTTACTCTCCAATAGATATTGATCAAGATCTCATAATTTTATTTCCAAGTTGAAATTAACATAATCTGTCCATTTTGCCCACCAAGCACAATTTATGATATATTTTCTTTCATTTTCTACTATTTAAACTTAATTTTACCTTCTGCATACTTCTCAGAATGGATGAAATCTCTCAAGGTATCTGAAGAGCTCTCTTTTAGAACACAAGATGGTTTCTTAGCGTTTTCCTGCAATAATTGTCGAATTGTGAAGAGGATTAGTCTATTTCTCCTCATTTGCACTTAGACGTTTGCAGTACTCACCACAAGGTAGTCGGCTGGGTGCCGGACTCACCTTGGGTAACTGGTTTACAGAAAATTCATGCTCATCTGTATCATCAACATTGGCTGTAGTTATTAGAAATACTTGAAAATTCCTACCTCTGTATGTACTAGCACAGGAGTAGCTGTCAGACTCTCTTCCAGAGTTTGGAATTTGACAAATTCAGCGAGTATAACTTCGTTTTATCTCAGCTAGGATTGGCTTAATAGGAGGATCCTCAACTTGGATGCTTGAGTTTAAAATCGAAGTATCAAAATTAGATAATTTAGGGGTAGCCAAGTTATCACAAGGAGATTTAGATCCGGTCTTTGTTGACTGATAATAAAACGGCCGTCTCTCTTCATATCACTTGTTTTGATTTATCTCTTCCCTTTGTCTCAGCGGAAAGGGATTATCATTTAGGTTGGCTGCTTTTGGAATGAATCCTTGCAAACTTTTAAATCGGCGATTATTTAATTTATTCATCTCCTTTGGATCTTTGTTTGTAAAAGGAGGACGAGAATCTTTATTGCTTCTCCTTTCAAAGAATTCTAATTTTACCTGAGTCCTACAAATTACACTAATGATATACTGCGGAATGAGATGGGATATCCTTTTAGGACCTTCATTTTCAAAATCTACATACTCTAAGTTTTCATCGGCTACTGAAAACTTGAGATGTTTATTTGGGACAAATCTCCTTTTCGTTTAGCAGTCTAATGTCAGCTATCGAATGTTCTATCTTAAAAACTCGTTAAGAATTTACATACCTCATCATTAAGCCTGATATCAGCTTCTGATAGAGTTTTCAGGAAGAACTCCTCCTTTCCAGTGGGTCTCGGATTAAAATAGTTGAAACTTCTAACAACTCAGTTTGACTGGTTTGGGACACAGAAAGATGGACCTCATCTGTAAGAATTTTATTCCACTGAATATATTTACCTTCGAATGTTGGTGTTCTTGTTCTCTTTATCATTGTCTATTCTTTGGGCTCTTCTTAAGACTAGTAGTTATAAGTCAAGATCCTACTTTTGCTGATAGTTGGCTTTGATTTGCTCTTCTTTGTCTTCTTTCGCTTTGGCTTGAGTTCCACACAGCCATTATTGATATTGAATTTTAGCATCTGGAGGAAGATTAATGTTTGAATTATTGCTAAAATTATTCAAAAGCTTGTTTTTATGATAAATTTATCCATTTAGTTTGAGTTTGATTCACTGTTCTTGTAAAAATTTTGAGCAGGGATTTCATCTTACGAAAAACTTACCAAAATATTTAAAATCTTCAATTTTTGAAAAATCTTTGGGGTTTTGGGGTTTTGGGGTTTTGGGG